ACAGTAACACTCAGTGAGGGTCGGAACAAACCTCAGTTGCAAGGTTTCAATGAATCTGAACTGAGTACTTTGGAAAGTACATCTTCAGATGGTAGTTGTGAGTCATGAAGGGGCAGGAACATTAAGGAGTTATAAACGGCTGCCATCATCCATCCCCACATAGTGACACTTCTCCTGATGCGTGATCCAAAGCCACATCTTATTCTTTAGAGTTAGGTTCCCACTTCAGCGGCTCACTTAATATGCCATGGATCAACCATAAACATACCTTGTGAAATTTCATTTTCTTAAGAGGTAATTATCAATTAATTGTACTTTGGTTATGACTGAAGTATAGCCTCATGTTGATAGTTTAGAGTATCTTTTTTACCATTTAAAAACAAGGAATTGTGTTTTTAATGGAAAGAAAGTAGAGCTTGATGACAAGTTTAAATCCTTGCTTTACTACTTTTGAAACATTTTTAACATGGAAAAGTGACGTAATGTTCTTGATTCACATTTGTCCATATAATGAAAGTGATAGCACCACGACATTAACCCTGATGTCTGATGTCTTCATTTGCATGCCTCAGAGTGTGCATAATACCATTCCAGTTACTTTCCATACATTATACCATTTAATTCTCACACGAACATTTCACAGCGTGCATTGTTATTTCCATTTTACAGATAGTAATCTCAAGACCAGGGAGACTCAAAAGACTTACCTGGCTTAGAAATGCTGGGATTGGGGCCAGCGCTGTGGCAGGTAAAGCTGCCACCTGCAGTACCAGAATCCCATTTGGGTGCCAGTTAGAGTCCTGGCTGCTCCACTTCTGATCCAGCTCTGTGCGATAGCCTGGGAAAGTATTGGAGAATGGCCTGAGTTCTTGGGCTCCTGCCCCTGCATGGGAGACCTGGAGAAAGCTCCTGGCTCCTGGCTTTGGATCAGCTCAGCTCCAAATGTTGGTGGCCACTTGGGGAGTGAACCAACAGGTGGGGGACTTCTGTCTCTCTGCCCCGCCTCTCTGTAACTCTGCCTTTCAAATAAATAAATAAATAAATCTTAAAAAAAAAAAAAGAAGAAGAAGAAGAAAGAAAGAAATGCTGGGACTTACAGTCAAAGCAAGGCTGGTTTGAGCCAATACGTACCCTGTGATACTTCGACCCTATGCATTAACAATGATACTATCAATCATAGCCATGTTGTGTGATCATTATGAAGATTAGAAATAATGTTTATGGTACTCCAACAAAAGATGTCTCATAAGAAGCCCCAAACAAACAACAGTTGTTGTCATGTTAATATCTCCATAGGTGAAAGTGAGGTGCTAAGACAGTGAGGATGAAGGCCTGACAATGTAGGAGGCATCCTCCCTTCATTGTGTTGGCTGGTTTGTGTGCTTGCTTCGTTCCCCACTTCACCAATAGGCAGATGTTCTGTTTAAAAGAACTTACATTGTATCTTTGATACCTGCAGAAAGGGTAGTTGGGAGCATTGAATGGAACAGCTAATGCACCGTAGTAGTACTTCTCAGATGACAACAAAATTGAATCTGGAAAATGAAAGCTTTTTTGCTTTTATCAGTTCAAGGTTTAGTGTTATCTGGAGATCTTTGTTAAACTCGGGATTTCTGTGTTTTGTTTTGTTTCAGTTCAGGCTTGGAAGAGAAAAGATACTGTTGCTGACTTTGAGTATTAAATATACCTTGCTATTAGTTTTCTGTGAAGCTTTTCCTCAACAAATGATTCAGTAAAAGAGCTGTGACCTGTGAGTTTTGGACAAGAGTCCCCATTTCCGATTTGGCAACACAAATTTCACACTTCTTCAGCGACTCTTGTAGAAAGAATGAGAATGCCAACAGTCACCTTGATCCGAGCCACCTTACTAGAGAAAAGTGGAGTGTGAATTTTTGTTTGATCTAGATTTCCCTTACGTCTCAGTGTTGGGAACACTTACATGCATTATACTCGAGTGTGGGACTTTTATTTCACTTTAGACTGAATCAGTTTTCTGGTACCAGGCGTTAAACTATTCCAACAACATGAAGAGATATGGGATGTTTGCTGTTCTTCTACTCATTGAATAAAAAACTGTTTTATTTAACGATTATGTTAGTAATCTTTTCTTATACCTAGAATGATAATAATGAAAACCAAATGGATGTGGCCTTTTCCTGTTGAATCACTCACTATTAAATGCCTTATTGAAACCTGGACTTTGAAATCTTCTGATTGAGAAATTGGCAATCTGCTGGACAGAAATAAAAATGACGTTTCTTATTGGTCATTCAGGTCCTTAAAGATTAAAACATGAAGCTGAGGAACAATGATTATGATCACTGTTTTTGTAAATACCATTTTATAACTTCTACCATTGTAAAAGAAACTACCTATCAAGTGATAAAAATAAAAGTAACAGTTGTATGTCTTTAGAAATTTTCTGTCTTGAGCAATTTGCCTTACCCTTTCCATTATTGAATTTTTTTATGCTGAAAATGAACTAAATAAATTTGTTGATTCCTTCTATTAAAAAGTATAGTTCTATTCAGTGTTTACTTATGTAAACAAATACAGAGAGGGCTTACCCTAAAAAATAATTTCGGAGATGAAACTGGTGAAATATAGAAATAGAAATGGAATAATAGTGTACCTGGTCTGTGAATTAATATGTAAGGAATTTATCAGATGTGCCTAAAATTGCCTTTTTAAGAAACCATAAACAGTTGTCCCTTCCCTGTTAACAAAGACTTTCATCTTACCTGAAGAGTCATCAATTGGCTATAGCCAGAAAAGTAAAAAATACATAGTGTAATTAGCCTAAGAACTTTTTAGCCGCATAAATACCCCTTTCTAGGCAAGCAATATTTATAAATTTGGGGTAAATGATCTTATCGTTAGACAGTTGAGCTTGATCATTAATTCATATTTAAAGTAGCATCCTCATAAATAACCAAAAAATGCCAAATTTTTCCTTATCTCCCAAAAGAAATGCCAAGTAATTCTTCCAAAATTGGAAAAGTAGATGAACCTTGTTAGGTATCATACAGTAGTGTTGTAGTAATAATGTATATGTTTAAGGATAAGGTAGTAAAAGATGTCATTAAAATTAAGCTATGAATTATTTTAAGAGAATGGATTTCAGTTGTTGTAAAGTGTAAGATGACTTAATAATAGAGGCCAGAGTTTATTTTCAGTTTTATAGTAAATTTACTTGCATATACTGATTCTTAAACTGGAGGATAATGCCTCGCTTGTGTTTACACTGTCCAAATGCCTGGCAGGCTACCAGCATGTCAATACGTGACAGTCATACAAGTATTGTGCTCATTCTGTCATTAGAATGACATGATCTCATTTTCAGTTTCTCCTGTTCTAGAATAGGATGTCTCCTTCTTCTTTTTAGTCTTCTCTCCAGACCTCTAAGTGTATCCCAAACTGTTTGCTACTCATAAAGTTCTCTTGAAAGTACTGAAATTAGTTGACAGATTTAAGACCTTGATTTGTTTTTGGAGTCTTGACCCATGTTTTATTCCCTGTTCCTTCAAGATGCTTGAATAATGTTTAATTCCTTATTATAAGCCCATGTGGACATAAAAGCAAGTTGCTGTTTATACATTTAAATGTGAATAAAATTACAGAATAAAATTGTGTGAAATATGGAATGCATGCTCCTCCATGACTTAGGAATCCTTCACGTTTTCTACAACGTCAGTGGGTTTCTTTGGTTTGTTTTTGTTGTGTTTAATCTCCTGGACTTGCCACTTCTCAAGGGCATTGTGGGGCATATGCAGCATGTATCTGATGTATAGATGTGTGTGCATGTTTTTCCACATCTGTCGCTGTGGACATTTCCTTTGTGAAATCCTAAACCTTGTATTAATGCTTAGTGTGTGATTTCTGGTGTTCTGAGAGCAATTATATAATTTTTCTGAGGGTGTTTGTTCAGTGTGTTGCACAGTAAAAACAAAATGGGAGCTATTTTTTGGTAACCCTACAGTTGCCTTTTTATTGGTGAATTTCTTTTCCTTTTACTGTGACCTGTGAATATCACTGTAGGCTCACTGCCAATTTTGTGAGCCGCTGCTTCAAAATGGAGGCAGGAAGGTATCCATTTTCATCAAGAGGATAACAGTGTTTCAGTCTTTCCGACCATCTGGAGAGAGGAACTTTTACAGCAAAAGAAAATGGGGATTAAAAAAAATTATATTTAGCAGAAGAGGCAAGGGGGAAAACCAATTAAAGTTAAACTATACCTTATGAATTTATGCTTTTCGACTATGCTGTCCTGTTTAAAGGAAACATAAACAAGAAAATACACAGGCTATTTTTATAAAGAACTAGTTCTCCAAGTCTCTTGAGCATTAGTAAACGAATGTAAGTAAATTAGGTTTTTGGCACACTTTTTCTGTTTATTGTACACACAAATATAATAGGCACTAAAGAGGAGCCTCCCCTGCTTCCTGTGCTCACACTGATTGTTGGTGGTCTCACGGAGGTCCAGCTTTCAGGGGCCTTTTCATGCATCTCTGAAAAAAGCTGACACTGTGGGAATTTAATATTCTAAGAAGTCTGGGTCCTCCTTCTCCTTCTCTCTCTCTCTCTCTCTCTCTCTCTCTCTCTCTTAGTGAAATCTTTCATTGAAAAGTAGAGTTTTTACTCTACCATTTGGGAGAGGCTTGATGTCTTTCTGTTTCACTTTTCATATGCTCTTGGGCCAGCTGTGTGTTTTGTTTCAGTTTTAAAAGGAATGATTGAGCACATAGAACTACTCTATGGGTATTATGCAGTGTATTTACAAGTAGACATGGTTTGCAGAATTCTTGCCTATGACTGGAAAGTATCATACCTGTTTATTCCGTTCACTGAAATACACCGAGCAATTTTGTTCGTTCTGCTCTCTCCTGAAAGGGACAGTGTTTCTAGATTTTGGTCAGAGTACCTGCTCCTTAGAAAACAATGGACCTTGAGGTGCTTTGGTCAGTGCAGGAAGCAAAACTCACTTGGCTCTCCCTCTTCAGGTCTACGCTCCGTCAGCAAGCACTGCCGACTACAATAGGGACTCGCCAGGCTACCCCTCCTCAAAACCAGCAGCCAGCACTTTCCCTAGCTCCTTCTTCATGCAAGGTAAGATGCCACTTCTTCTTCTCAAGGCAGATCTACTGGGCAGACTCTTCCTGGCCCTTTTAATGTCATATGTGGGGCAAAAGAAATAGAAGAGTCAGCAAGTGTAGAATCTTGGAGGTCACGCTCTTCTCAGGAATTGAATTCCTTGACCATAAATTAATGAACTGAAACTGTCCTTAGACCTTCTTGCTTTAAGTTAGAGCCTGTGGAGCAATAGGGAGTAAAGGTGAGATGGGTCAGCTTCACTGAGAGCTGATGGTGCTGGTGGTCTCCCTTGGCCAACCTTACCCACATCCTCACCATCCCCAAAAAGGAGGTGGGTGCATGATCAGATGTTTTGTGGCTCTAGGCTGTTTTGAGCATCCTGAATTTAGCCAGCAGGTAACAAGTTGCTCTTCTGTATCTGAAACATGATGTAAAATTTCCCATCATTTATTATTTTATAGGTAAGAACAAGGGTTTCACTTAAGATGAGATGACCTGACTACAGACTGGAATATTGCACAGTGAAAGCTCTTTCCCAACATGCTAACAGATTAAGGGTGAAAGACCCAACGTTTTTTCAGGATAGGTGCAGTGTATTTTTTTCTTTTAATTGTATATTTAGGTAAGCACAGATGGGTGCATACTCCCAGAGTTGCTAGTCTTGCCTCTGGAAATATAACTTCTTTGTGCTTCTTAGAAACAACCGAGTTGGTTAAAATGATGACAGCTACTTCGAGAATTTCCCTCCTGGAGGGTGCAGCTAAGGGCTGTACCCCTGAGATGCCTGTGACACTGTTGCTAAGTTAATACCCTGAGTTTAGGTATGGAATTTTCTAAGAACCCTATGTGCACTCTTTTTCGCCTGGGCATGGAAACCTTATTTGAGTGTACCTTGGCAAAGTGCCATGGCATTTTCTTCATTGTACCACTCTAGGGAGGGCCATGTCACAGGAAGTTGCGTGCGCTTGGGGCAGAGAGTGCGGGGGGAACAGCCTGGTGCCTCCCTTAGATTACAGTGGACCATGCAAAATCATTCTGGTTCAGAAGGGTTCATCTTTCCCTTCAGAATGTGAGCTCTTTTTGGTTGTGAGCTCCCTGAAATTCCATGGGAAATCTATAAAATTGAAGCAAATGGATTCCTCGAATACAGAGTTTGTTCCACACATACCGGAGGTCCCCATCACAGAGATACTTGATCTTTGTGACCTGCCCTGGCTTTACCTCCCAAAGGGACACAGTGGTTTGTGCTACCTGGAGGCACTGTGTGCTGTGACAAAGACTTAGTACCTTTAGCTGCAAGCAGTAAACTTCCCTGGCATCAGCCCCCTCTTCAGTGAGGAGTGAGAGAAGTTGTGCTGCACGTGCTCACAGAGGCCAGCAACTCAAGGATTCATCACTCAAAGCAGATTCTCACTGAGTAAAGTAACTGAAGGATAGGTTTTTCTCTTTGCCTAGGAAAGTAATTTGTTTGAATGGTGCTCAATGCCAGATAGACCAAGTGGATTAAAATAGTAGACTCCTTTTTATAGCAGACCACACAAAAGGGGGGCCAAATTTTCTTGTCTGCACATGAATATCCAAAAAGCAAAAAAAAAAAAAAAAAAAAAAAAAAGAGAGAGAGAGAGAAAGTACAGTTGATGTTTATAAGCACAATTAATTTGTGCAAGTCTAATTCTATTCTTTTTTTAAGATTTTTATTTATTTATTTGAGAGTCAGAGTTACAGACAGAGGGAGAGACAGAGAGAAAGGTCTTTCATCTGCTGTCCACTCCCCAAATGGCACCAATGGCCAAAGCTTCCAATCTGAAGCCAGGAGCCAGGTTCTTACAGGTCTCCCATGGGAATACAGGGGCCCAAGGACTTGGGCCACCTTCTACTGCTTTCCCAGGCCATAGCAGAGAACTGACTTGGAAGAAGAGCAGCCGGTACACAGACTGGCACCCATATAGGCTGCTAGCATTGCAGTTGGAGACTTAGCCTGCTATGCCACAGAGCTGGCCACTAATTCTTTTTTCTTTCAAAAACAACATTATGCGAAGATCATGGGATGTGATAAATATTTACTGTGAAAAGAATAATTTATGTAAAATACATATTTTTAAAAGTCTACAGTGAGTACAGTGTTCTATTAACCATTCTAAGCATATTGCTGCCCAACATATCATATTACCAGATGTTTTAGAAGACTCTTGTCCAATGATACAAATTCTCATTTATTTGTTGTATGTGCCACCTATCTTGGACTTCATGTTTGAATTTAAAGTGACACTTACATTTCTGTAATTTAAGAGCTAAATCTAAAATACATGGATAATAACTTTGTAAAGAGCTGTGTTTTCACATGATGTGCACAGAAAGAGTTGCATCATGATCCTGTCTCACATCAGCTTCCATTGTAGGCAGGACTTAAAAGAATATGCAGTTAGGTGGAAGACACTCAAGAAACTGTCTGGGAGATATTTTAAGCTCACTACTGTGGCCTCATGTTTTTAAGTTCAATGCCCATTTAATCTGTCAATCTCTCCAGAGCCATCAAAATCACAGACATAATTTTGTTCACATAATTCTTTTTTTTTTTTTTTTTACAGGCAGAGTTAGTGAGAGAGAGAAACAGAGAGAAAGGTCCTCCTTTTTCCATTGGTTCACCCCCAAAATGGCCACTAGGGCCAGCGCGCTGCACCGATCTGAAGCCAGGAGCCAGGTGCTTCCTCCTGGTCTCCCATGCAGGTGCAGGGCCCAAGCACTTGGGCCATCCTCCACTGCCTTCCCGGGCCACAGCAGAGAGCTGGACTGGAAGAGGAGCAACTGGGACAGAATCTGGCTCCCCAACTGGGACTAGAACCCGGGGTGCCGGTGCTGCAGGCGGAGGATTAGCCAAGTAAGCCGCAGCGCCGGCCCATTGTTTGCATGATTCTGTAGACTCTTTCTCTTTGTTCTGAAGCTATTCCAGTTGAGAAACTCTAAATTCTGGGTGTATACATTCAGTGGGAGGGGCCAGAGCTATGGCGTAGTGGGTAAAGCCACTGCCTGGAGTGCCTACATCCCAAATGGCTGCCAGTTTGAGTCCCAGCTGCTCCTCTTCCAATCCAGCTCTCTGCTATGACCTGGGAAAGCAGTAGAAGATGGCCCAAGTCCTTGGGCCCCTGCACTCGCATGGGAGACCATTGCAGCCATCTGAAGAATGAACCAACAGATGGAAGGCTTCTCTCTCTCTCTCTGCCTCTGCCTCTATGTAGCGCTGCCTTTCAAATAAATAAAAAACTCTTTAATACATACATACATACATAAATAAATTCAGTGGGGGGAAAAAGCTTTATGAAATACAGTATTAGATTTAATTTGCCCATTGCCTACATTTTCAAAAGGCTTTTATTAAATAAAAACTTCTGGTGAAAATAATCTTATTTTCAAGGAAACAGTACCTGCTGTACATTTAACACTCAGCAAGTTTTGTTAAAATTTTGAAAGAAGTGGGGAAAAGAATGACATCAACAGTAATATAGATCGTCTTCCCTGCCTAAGTTTGAGAAATTAAGACCAAACATGGTCATTTCTTTTACTAACTTCTTGATCAGCAGGCCCAGAGAATGGAAGTCTGTAGGAGTATTTTTTAATGTTAACATTAATGTTAACAAAAGGTTAACTTCATATTAGAACATATTCCATATATTTTTCATACAGTTTTAAGCCTCTTTTTAACTCTAGTAGTTTTATAAAATCCAGAGGCTCTCAAAATCATCTGTAATGTAATATTTACCTTATGATAGTGTATACACTTTGAATTCCTACCGAAGTTTATAGTTACATACTGGAACACCAAAAAATAAAAATAAATCACCTAAGAACTATGTTGTCTGAGATTCTGCTTCCCTAATTCCATAGCACAATTATATAATTCCAACTTTACTTGTATCTATTAAACATGTTACAAAAATTAAATCTGATCTTTAAGTCTGAGACGGTCTTTTTTACTACTACATATTTCTTTATATGCTTTTAAAGCTTGTAAACTTGCCAACTCTTTAACGTTTAGATCACTTAATTTTTATCTGAACATTTAGGAGAATTTTAATTTTCTAGTTGGTTTTCAAAGAAAAAAAGTCAGGAAAATTCTAAGAAATGTTCCCTTACACATTAATTGCCTTGTTCACGTGACCAATATTCTATGTGGGAATGTGCTGTATTCTTTTAACAGATGAGTTTTTACTGAGAACACTAACTTGGCTAAATGTTTATGTTTGTTTGACAAAATACAACGACTTGGGGTGAAATAATGACGACTGTCTTCTGATGTCATCAGCTAACCGATGCAGGGATGAATACACAACAGGCAGTCATTTTCAAGTACATGAAAAACCCCTATTCTATAAGGCAAGGCTGACTGCCTGGGAGAAGTCATGCTTTTCTTTGTCCTTTACAGATGGCCATCACAGCAGTGACCCTTGGAGCTCCTCCAGTGGGATGAATCAGCCTGGCTACGGAGGAATGTTGGGCAATTCTTCTCATATTCCACAGTCTAGCAGCTACTGTAGCCTGCACCCACACGAACGTTTGGTAAGACAGCCTTACATGGGAGAGTGAGAACACAGCTAGTTTATGAAATCTCATGCCTGTCCTCCCATGCATGTGCACGAGGTCACTCACCGCAAGTAAATGCAAACAGGGTGCACGCCCATTGTCCTTAGAGTTGCATTGTTTCGTGATCAAACAGAATCAGATCACCTTCGCAGACCCTCCCAGATTCTCTGTCATTGTTCTTTTGTTTATTGTGTTTTGTTCTGTGCTTTCTAGATCACAGCATTGGCTTACTGCAGGACGTAAATACACACTGCATTTGAGTTGCAGGATTTCAGCTGTGGCAGGTCCTTGTTGTTTCTTTGCTCTAGGTTTGGAAGCCTGTGCTGCAGAGGTCAGAGTGTAGTTGGTGGACATTGCAAGGAGGTTACATGCCTCCCAGATGGGCCTTTCCATTTCCTCTTGGCCAGCTTGTGTCAGCTTTGACCTGCTGTGACACATCTGAAGGAACGAGTTCATGTTTTCTGTACACTCCTGTCAGTAACAGCAATCATGAGGTTTCTGCATAAACCTGCTGCCCAGTTTTCAGTTTGGAGCTTTGATTCCACACAGCTCAGCCTGGCACCGATCCTCTGATTTGCCTCATTCCAATTGAAAACTCTTGGGCTGTAGAAGCTAGGTCTTTCATCCGAAAGTTTCTTTGTCCATCACCTACGCTTATCCTTCCTGGTGTGGGTCTGTCCTGGAAGAAGGAGCTCATCTGACTGACTTTCTTAGCTTCAAAAATTATATCCCAGGATCCACATATGGATTAAAATCCATGATTAATTGGAGGAAAGAGCCTGCATTGTGGGTTTGGGGTACAGATACGATGGCCAAGCTCCAGCTGTTGCAGCCATTTGGGAGTGAACCAGTAGATGGAAGATAGATTTCTCTCTCTGTGTATCTATCTATCTATCTATCTACCTATCATAGATATCATATCTAGATAGATAGATAGATAGATACAAAATAAATTCATTATTTTTAAAGGATGGGAATAGCATAAAAATGTATGACTCTCAAATCCTACAAATGCAAAGGGTCTCGGAAAATCCAGGATCCTGGGTGGTGCGCACATCACTGCTGTTCATTTGATGGTTTTCCCCTTTGTTCTTGCATATCTATGTTTGTGATTCTTCATCTGTTTTGATAAAGCAAATAATGCTTTCTACATTTCTGTGTTCTTTCCTCTCTTTTGATCAACTACTGCAAATTTAGAAAAGGTATCTTATACTCGGAAAAATTCCTGACATTAAGATTCCTGAGCAGGGACTGGCGCTGTGGCATAATTTGCTGAGCCTCCGTCCATGGTGCCGGAATCTCATATGGGTGCCAGTTCATGTCTCGGCTGCTCCTTTTCCAATCCAGCTCTCAGTTTATGGCCTGGGAAGACAGTAGAAGATGGCTCAAGTGTTTGGTCCCCTGCACCCACATGGGAGACCCAGAAGAAGCTCCTGGCTTCAGATCTGCCCAGCCCCAGCTGTTGCGGCCATTTGGGGAGTGAACCAGCTTATGATGGTTCATTTTGGCTCTCCTTCTCTCTGTCTGTAACTCTGCCTTTCAAATAAATAAAGAAAATTAAAAACAAACAACTGAAACAAAAGAAAGCCAGATTTTTGAGGAGGCATTTGCCCAGCAGCTAAGATGCTGGTTGAGATACCTGCATCCCACATTGGAGAGCCTGGCTTTGATACTGGCTCAGGTTCCTGACTCCAGCTTCCTATAAATGCAGACCTTGAGCAGCAGTGGAGATGTAGGATGCAACTGAGTTTCTGTGACCCATGTGGGAGACCTGAATTGAGGTCCCTTCCTGTCGTCGGCACAGCCCAGTCCCTGCCATGGCAAGCATTGGCGGTAGGACTAACATATGGAAATTCTATTTCTCTCTCTCTCTCTCTCTCTCTCTCTCTCTCTCTTTCTCTGTTTCTCATAAATAAACAAAAGATTTCTGATATCATTGAACTTTGAGAAGATATCTTTATTTGATCCTAGTGACATAGATATCACATAGTGTTACTCTGTACAGTCCTGACAGGCAGAGGTGACGATGGAGTTAGCCTTTTTGTATCATCTCCTGAGTTCATAGCTATAAATCACAAAATGTCTCAAATTTCAGCACATTTGCAGTAAGTAGTGAATGACTTACTTCCTTATTTCCTCTTCCTCTACCTCCTACTTGAAGGGATTAGAATGAAAGCTTTGAGAAATGTTAACTATTATTAATCTAGAATTTCTTTGGACTAACATTTTGACTTCCCCAGCATCATTTTTTACTTCTTTGAGGACTGATGATCAAAACTATATGTGCTGTATGAGCATAGAAAGTTTTGATTGAAAATAAAAAAGTTTTTTGAAAAAAAAATTTTTTTTTGGACAGGCAGAGTTAAACAGTGAAAGAGAGAGAGACAGAGAGAAAGGTCTTCCTTTTCCATTGGTTCACCCCTGCAATGGCTGCCATGGCCAACGCACTGCAGCCGTCGCATTGTGCCAATCCAAAGCCAGGAGCCAGGTGCTTCCTTCTGGTTTCCCATGTGGGTGCAAGGCCCAAGGACCTGGGCCATCCTCCACTGCACTCCTGGGCCACAGCAGAGAGCTGGACTGGAAGAGGAGCAACCAGGACAGAATTCAGCTTCCCAACCAGGACTAGAACCCGGGGTGCCAGCGCTGCAGGCGGAGGATTAGCCAAGTGAGCCGTGGTGCCAGCCTGGAATTTTGTTTTTTTTTTAAGTCAGTCATTTGACTTTTATTTGTAGGGGGATCAGGGGAAATTCTTTTACTTGGTTTTATTTGCAATACAGAGACAGAGAGCTCCTGTCTGCTGGTTTACTACTCAAATGTTTGCAATAGCCAGAGCTGGCCTGGGCCAAAGCCAGAAGCCAGGAACTCAATCCAAGTCTTCCCTAATGGGCAGCAGGGACACAACCACTTGATCCATCATCACCTGCTGCCCTCCAGAGTCTGCATTAGCAAGAAGCTGGAATTAGGAGCCAGAGCCAGGACTGAGATTCAGACACTGTGAAATTGAGATGGGATGCAGATATCCCAACAGACATCTTAACTGCTAGGCCTGCCCCTGTTTTACTTTTTAACATTCTTCTCTCCCTATGTTTCTTTCTTTTTCTATCTTACTTTAGAATTTCGAATGAGGTGATTTGACTTTATCGCAATCAGGGTCACTGGATGGGGAGTATCTTTAAATTGTACTCAAATGCACAGAGAGGCAAAGCTGAAACTAACTACATGCCTTTTAGGAGTTTAGCTAAACCAAAACATATTATCAACCAGGGAGAAAGATTATTTTGAAAAATTAACCTGTTTGGCTGCATCAGAAGCTGTATTTGTAATTGTCATTTACCCATCAGAAAGCATGGAGTTTTCATGGTTAATATCATCAGTTAACAAATTTTAGAGAATTTTAAGGTGTAAATGAGTGGAGTGCCTGCTTATGTATCCTAATGAATTTTCCCATCAAGAGTGAAACTATTGAATTATTGCATGTAGTTTTCATTGTAATTTCAGGATTTAATCATGTGAAAATCTCACTGAAGTAACTGAGGAACCTGACGCTGATGGAGAATAATGTCGAATTACAGTAGCTGTTGGTGTCCTTTCACTGAAAAATAATGGTAGCTTGTTACAATTTTAGTCCCTCAGCGTCTGGCTACTCCCATCCTGAACAAAGGGGTAATTCACGAAAAGAGAGCTTTCCCTAGATTATTTTGGTTATACTTTGGCCAAGTTAGTATTATCTGTCAAGGTAGAACATTTTAGAAACATGATTGCCCTCTCCACTTCAGACCATGTTATCATAGAATGGGTAATTATGAAGCTTAAAGTCCACGTAGTTCAGTACTGACTATCAAGTCATCAATCTTAAGTCTTTTAAGATTCCATGTTCAGCCTGTACAAGTAATCGCGACTACATTACAGAAACACACACAAAATCACACAGATGAGTAGAGTTTCAATAAGGCTTTCTGATGGGTTGTTGCAGAATATTGAAGTTTGGACAGACTTGGCAAAGCTCTATTTAAAAATAAGATGGAGTCCTCCCTGTCTGGTGTGATTTAGGCCTGGTCTTTGAAGTACAGAATGAAATAATCTTAGGAATTGATAATTTTAGTACAAACAGAAGTTCTGCTATCTTTTATTTTTGTAGCAGAAACCTTAGCCAAGCAGTTCTCAACAAGGAGTGATTTTGCCCTTGAGGGACCATTTATTAGTGTCTGAAAATGCTTTGCTGTTGTTGTGCTTACATCCTGTGGGTAGGTGCTCCTGGAATCCAGTGGGTAGAGGCCCACGCCAGCGGTAAACTTGCTGTGATGCACAGGGGAGTTCCCACAGCGAAGAATTGAGCACAAAAGATTCATGTGGTCAAGGGTGTGAATGCCCAAGGCATCATTCTGTTCTTAGTATTTGGTCCCAGATATTTTTCTAAATTTAAATGATCAACTCAAATAGAGATTTTTAAAAAGTCATTATTGGAAACATTTTCAACACTTATGTTATCAATAGACTCTAAAAACACTCTTGAAGGCCGGTGCCGTGGCTCACTTGGCTAATCCTCTGTCTGCAGTGCTGGCTCCCTGGGTTCTAGTCCCGGTTGGGGTGCCAGATTCTGTCCCAGTTGCTCCTCTTCCAGTCCAGCTCTCTGCTGTGGAGGATGGCCCAAGCGCTTGGGCCCTGCACCCGCATGGGAGACCGGGAGGAAGGACCTGGTTCCTGGCTTTGAATCAGCTCAGCGTGCCGGCCATAGCGGCCATTTGAGGGGTGAACCAACGGAAGGAAGACCTTTCTCTCTGTCTCTTTCTCTCTCTCTCACTAACTCTGCCTGTCAAAAAAACAAAACAAAACAAAACAAAAAAAACAACTCTCTGCTTTTGTACCAACCAGAGCATACTTTAATAACTAGAGTGATGGAGCTGACACTGTGGCTTAGCAGGTAGGGCTGCTGCCTGCAGTGCTGGCAACCCATATAGTCGCCGGTTCAAGTCCCAGCTGCTCCACTTCCAATCCAGTTCTTTGCTATGGCCTGGGAAAGCAGTAGAAGGTGGCCCAAATCCTTGGGCCCCTGCACCCATGTGGGAGACCTGGAAGAGGCTCCTGGCTCCTGGCTTTGAATAGGCACAGCTCCAGCAATTGCAACCAAGTGGGAGTGAACCAGCGGATGGAAGACCTCTCTCTCTCTGCCCCTCCTTCTCTCTCTGTTACTCTGACTTTCAAATAAATAAATTAATTTAAAAAAAAAAAAGACTTAAGAGGACTTTCTTGTTTTTTTTTTTTTAATTTTTGACAGGCAGAGTGGACAGTGAGAGAGAGAGACAGAGAGAGAAAGGTCTTCCTTTGCCGTTGGTTCACCCTCCAATGGCCGCCGCTGCAGCCAGCGCACCGCGCTGATCCGATGGCAGGAGCCAGGAGCCAGGTGCTTTTCCTGGTCTCCCATGGGGTGCAGGGCCCAAGCACCTGGGCCATCCTCCACTGCACTCCCTGGCCATAGCAGAGAGCTGGCCTGGAAGAGGGGCAACCGGGACAGAATCCGGCGCCCCGACTGGGACTAGAACCCGGTGTGCCAGCGCCGCAAGGTGGAGGATTAGCCTAGTGAGCCCCGGCGCCGGCCGGGAGATACTGTTCTTAGCCTGGTGCCTAAAGTTCATCATAAAATCCTCCAAAAGAGACATTATTTACATATCACTGATGTTATCTCTAGTGTATTTATTATCTTTCTAAGTGGCAGCAGTTTTGAAAATAGTTTCATTGTAAAATAATCTAGTTCTAAATGTCAGTTCTTTGAGCCTTTAATTTTTGATTAGTCTCTAAAAATAACTGACTTACATGGATTACATTGGTTTCCACATTAAGATCTGCAGGAATTAATTTTTACTTCTCTTCTCTGAACTCAATATTAACCCAAAGTCAGTCGAATCCAAAAGTTTTCACTGACAATTCTTTTAACTGTCTCATTTTGTGATTATTATAGTTACTCAATTTTTTGTAACCCCTTTCCTCTTTTTTTAAAATGTTTACATACTGGTTTATACTTGTTCTTCAGAAATTCAGCAAAGAATAGAGCTGTAGAAGAAGAATCAAACCTTCTCTTTCATTTTGCCTTTCCATATTCTGTTGTTTTTTGTTGTTGTTGTTTTTTTTTTTTTTTTTTTTCTGTTCCACTTTATTAGTCTTTAGCTCCAGAGCAGAAATAGCTCTGTCTGGTCATCTGCATTTACTGGTAAGTGGTTTATCCAGTCTTTCAAGTTATCTGTACTTCAGGATGGGCCCACTCTATTATCTTTCAGAGAAAATTTCATGGGCTACTTGGGATATATTTTGTGTGACAAGTAGAAATGAATTTAACAGGTGGCCTGAGGAATGTTTTGGTCAAGGAAGGAGGTCCATGAAATTGAAAAGTTTGGAATGCATTCTCGGGAACTTGGGGAGGTTTAAAGGGATCATGTCAGTTTTTTCACTGAAGTCTTTCAAGTTGGACTATTTTGGGTGCAGAGGTAATATCTTCATAGACATCCATGTGTCATTGACAGACTTAGGTCTGAAATGTAGATTCATTGTTGGGACTGTTATCTCTCAAATAAGCCATATTTCAGTCCACATTTACCAAGTTCTAACTGATAACCAGCTGTTCTGAGCATGTAGTGTGATTATGTGTTCAGTACTCAGCCATAAGTGGTGAGCAGTGCACAGTGTGGGCTCTGTCCCTCCCCTTGAAGAGCTCACCATGTATGAGTAAAGGCAGAAATGGACTTGACGGATGAAAGGTGGCAAATCGTTAAGTGTTAACTGGCATGGTACAAAATGAAAGTGCCTTCAGATTGTGGACAAGCTGGAAGTGGGAGTGGAATCTTTAAGCAAGCAGTTGAACCTACAGTGGGTCTTGCAAAACTAAACGGGACAATAGCAAGAAAATGGTTTTTTTCTCCTTGTGGAAAAATGCTGGGGCTTGAAGTACCCCTGTCAGCCTCATATTCAATTTCTAATTTGAAATTAAACAATTACAGCAGCATCTCTAGTAATATATTAAAGATCCTAGTCCTTTTATATGTTACATATGAGAAAAAAGTTTATTTAGCTTAAATATTTTCTTTTCATAGCCATAATACAATTACATAATGTCTATGAGAATAACTTTTTAAGCTACTTTTTATTTTAAAAAGTAAAAAAGCTCCAGGTGCCCATCTAAATGAGCATGCCTCTTATGGGGATTTTCTCATTCCCAAGCAGATGAGTGGATAGTAACTAATTGCCCACCCTAGGGGCACTGTGATAGGCCCAGGAAAAAGTAGTTTCTTTGACTAACTAGGATAGTAATGGAACTTAAAAGCCACACCTTCAAGCAGGTGATTTATTGAACACGTGGTTCTTCTTTCCTAGCCAGCTATAAGGTGGAGCTAATGGGAAGAGTATTTAAAAAAAAAAAAAAAAAAACAACACAAAGTGAAATATGTCATTCTTGGTTCTAGTTTAATTCAGTATAATCATTGGTTTAAGGCTTCACTTATTGATGCTTTAAACAGATATTTAATCATTCATGCGCTTTTTTTTTTAATTTACCTTTTCATTCTTGCTGCTAGAGTTTAGGTACATGATCCAATTTGTCAGGAAGATTTGACATTGACTCCTTTTTTGCCATTTAGTGTCCAGCACGTCAGGATGAACTGTGATGTGAATGTATGGGTCCTGATGTTGTTTTATTCATTCTTTAGTGGAATTTTTGTCATATCAATAGCCAATTCCCCCATCATCCCCCAAATAATAACAGAGATGGTCTTTTATGTAGCTGCTATCTCAAAGATGATTTTAAGCAGTAATATGTAGATTTAGAGATTGTGATCATTTCTTCATGTCCTACATTACCATTTTATTCCTCTTCATTTGATGCAAACCCAAACCAACTAACTATGTCTGTGTTTTATAATTTGAAAAATGAAAGCTGTCAGATCTAAGCAAGATGTTGTCTTGACTATTTTGAAATTCTAGAATCTGTCTTCATTGCAAAGTGGAGAGTGCTGAGAGAACTATTAGAAAGCTAACTTGCTAAATATGCTGTGATTGAATGGCCTACTTTTTCTGTGTCTCACTACAGAGCTATCCATCACACTCCTCAGCAGACATCAATTCCAGTCTTCCTCCGATGTCCACTTTCCATCGTAGTGGTACAAACCATTACAGCACCTCTTCCTGTACACCTCCTGCCAACGGGACAGACAGTATAATGGGTGAGTCACAGAAATGCCAATTCCAACGTTCAGTCAATGTCAGGGTTGAATACTGAAGGGCCTCTATCCCCTCTCATAACTGAACAGCATTTAGGCAATAAATATTTGTCACACAATTGAATGAACAAACAAATGAGCCAAACAGAAATAATCACTGGCCTGACCAAAATCCCTTCTTTTTCCTTCACAAGAAACTAAAACTTGACTACTTTGTCCATTGTGAGTCAGTATATTGAATAAGGCTTAAATAGACCCACGTTCCCTTGCTTCTCACACTCTCAAACAGTAATGTGAACTTTCCATGACAGGAGCCATGGAAGACTAGTGACCCACGGACACACTGGCTCTTAATAGTAGTCACTGGCCTCTTCCCAATAGCATTCACCACGCTGAGCTCTTAACCATGGCGTGCCACTGTCTTCTGAAGACAAGCATATGTGAAATTCTCAGGTGACTATTAATAACTAGATGAGCCTGACCTTCTAAAGAATGTGGCATTGCACAGCCCTTCCCAAGAGCAGTGTTTGCTCGTTTACAAGAGAGGAGATGTCTGAGCATCAGTGGGCCAGAAGTTCGGTGCTTTCCTTCAGGCAAATTCGCTAATGAGTTAAGACCAAGAGGAATGCCGCTGCCAGTGAACAGAGTCATCACCCTCTCATTCCTCATGGTGTGCACTGTGGTTCTGTCCCTGGGAAGGATGATTTCCCCACTAGCACCTGGTCCGCAAGGGAAGAGCTCGACAGGAGGGCACGTTGGGCTGGTGGGAAGACAGCTCCCTGCCACTGAGTCTGCCTTGGTAACCTTGGCATTCAGTTGAGCCTTATCCTGGTGCTCCTGGGTCTTACTGTAGCCTCAGATTTCACTGGTTGCCTCTCATGCTGATTCTAGCTCTAGCCCATACCTGACCTGGGCCAAATTCCATTCGCAGAGGGTTACTGATGACAGCATTCAGGGTGTTTTCTAAGAGAAGATCATGCTACTGTTCATTGCTCTTAGTTCTTCAGTGTCTCCCTTTTCTATAGGTGGTCTGTCTGTAGGACTTTGGGAAGTGGTGTGAATCACTTATGTGGGAGAGATTTTGATGAAGGAGAAAAGATGTGTTTTGAAATGTTACAAATATAATTTCGGCCTGAGTGATACCCTCTCTGCTTATTCAGTAATATATTTCACATTTGAGCTGAGCCATCGGGCGGCCCTCTGCTGTCATGTCTCACTAAGAAGCAGATTTAACAAGAGTTTCCATTTTTGTAACTTTCCATAACAAAGCTCCTTACAAATGGGCTGCATCCATTTGACCTTGGAGAATTCTGGACAGAGGTTACATGGAGAAATGTTTGTTAACTATCAATGCAGTTTGGACAAACTTGAAAAACAAGAAGAAAGAAAGAAAAGTGCAGAACTGAAAGAGTGAGAAAAGCATATTTCACTTCAATGCGGTTTGACAGATGGAAAGCCCCTTTCTGCAGTCATGAGGTCTTGATATAAAGGAGGATGACCGGTCATTCATTCTCTTGCATGACAGATTTCCTGTCTGCTCGTGGTTTGAGTAATTTTCTTTTTTAGGAAGGTATGAAGGTGGAGCAAAACCATGAGTTGAGGAAAACATACTCATGCAGTGTTTGAAAAAAAGTTCAGTCGATTGATTTGCCATTTTTTCTGGCATAGAGTCACCATGACTGTGAACAAAGAGATGTTATGAGATGGTGTTAAGCACTCAATGTAAATTGGGGGTAGCTGACTCTCAGTGGGAACAAGATCTGCTTGGTTGTGGCTGGCTGTCCCAACGTTAGCTTGAGGATGAACAGGAGCATCTCCTCAGGGGGCCTGGGCAGAGTGGAACAGAAATGCCTGGCACATGCCTAGGACTCTGCTGCATACTAAGGATGGACTTCACTTGGTACAGACCACGGACTGTGCTTACGGGTTTAGACAATATTAGGGAAGCTATAATTTCAAAAGAGAAAAGCAGAAGATTTTTGAAACCCCAAAAAGAGCTTTGAGGGGATTTTGTTACATAAATTGTTTCATTGGAATGGGTGTGCTTATCAAAATCCACATTCAGAATGGGAAAAGATCCATCAGAAATCATACATGAAGGAGTAGACCCTTGTTACTTTGCATAAATACAGATGTTAATTTATTACAGATTATTTCTTTCATGTTCTCCAATGCCTAGAGTGAAAATAAAGAGGAAAACTTAAGGATATTAGTGAGGGTTTATATTGCACGGTGTCTGGGTGGCTCATGTTTCTATAGCACTTTCATTCTCCTAGCCTTCGCTTTGGTTATCAGAGCGTGGTTGAAGTCGGCGATGGCGGCATGTCGGTATAACGAGAAGAGAAGTTTTCTCTTCTGATGTTAGTAATACTTCCCTAACAGACTGTATGGATTAATAGGATACAGCTGTAGACTTTTGAAAATATTTGGCATATCCTCACTCATTCTGAAATACAGGAAATAAAGAAATATTACGTTGCCTGTTTCTCAAAGGACAAACAGAGCTAATTAAATAATTGGTAAATGGGGAACACATAGCCTGCCACATGTTTGAGATTACACACATGATTCTGTCGAAAATGACTGCAAGCAACACTAATGCCATAAGAATGGGGTTCAAGCGCTGACGCATGGACATCACATTTTTCACATTTTCTTGGTGAAAAGCTGCAGGGCGGGGTGCACGCTTAGGGAGTTGCTTTTATTCCTGTGTGGAAGAAGACCCATGCCCTGTGTCTTGGTTTCCTGTGATAATATGTCTTCCTGGCGGTGACTAGTTGTGCAGAGCTGAGGGTAGAAGAGGGAGATGCAAGCTCTCAGATCACTAGAAGGTGCCTTCTTGGAACCACAGTCCCAACCCTCTAGTTCTGCCTCTGTGTCTCCAGGAGAGAAGACGATGAGTGGGGTGTGTTACTTGTTTGACTGGGAGGAGAGATTGCTTTGTTTTCATTTGTTCTTTAATGCCCAATATCTTTTTTTGGAGACACCCTTAAGAATGATAGTGCTTGGGTCAAGTGCATTAATGAGGCTGTTCTTTCTTTAAAGGACATGTTTGCCCCTGGATCTTTAAGAGAACTGTCGAGTCAGACGTTCTCCATGTGGCATATGCTCCGCAGCCTTTCTCTCGAGCTGTACTAGAGAGTCTGGAGATTCACAAACATTTCTGAGGAGAAGGGTCTCTTAACACCAGACAGTTGTAGGAAGTTGGTACCTAGGGTCTAGCTGGGATTTGCAGTAGTACTGTGTGGGTAACACACAGTTAAGGAGAGAAACTGTCAGGGGGCTCTAGGAATTACTGGAATCACACCCCTTCCACTGGTTTCCTAAAACCTTTTCCGTGTTCTGCTGCTGGCGTGTGTCTCAGAAGGAGCACAGTCCAGTTCTACATCCGAGCATGTGCGCAGAGAAGCATGGGTAGGGCGTTAGATAACAGAGCTGCCTGCAGGATAATAACCATTCACATTTTGCTATCCATGTATTTCCTTCCTACCTGCAGTGCTAGCCAGTAGCCCTTCCTGATCCAAAGGAGTGAAAGGACCCCCTGCTTCTCAAGGATGAGAATACTGTAGCCCCCCACTGAGAGATACCATCTGTATACATTGCAGGGTGTGACCCCTTGTGGTTTGAGTCTACACATCCTCTCCTCCCCTCAAAGGGAATTCTGCATGTAACTAACATAGTGGTTATAATAGCTATTGTTGTTTTATTAGTCTTTAACTGGTCTCTTTTCTCATGCTTGGTATTTCCCATGTTTTTAAACCTCAAACCAAATAGTGTTGAAGGAACCGACTACCAAGATTGATTTAAAACACCATATGCTAAACATTACCCTGGAATATCTATCCGGTCCATGAATTAATCTGCCTTACAACTTTCACTTCTAATGACATGTTTGTACGACACGATGCATTTTAGGATGTGGCTTTCCTAGTAGAAACATGACGTCCTTTTCCCCTTGAGGACTTGGTTTCACAGTAATTTTATTATTAGAGTAGTCACATAATAGTCACTTTGTATTTTACAAGAATCTTGAGCCCTCAAATACACTTGGGTGATGAACAGGCACAGTGCATCAGAGTAATAGGAATTTTATCCAGAAGGTCAGGGCATCATAATTACAGGACCACCAGTGGAGAACAATAAACTCATTTGATTTAAGTCTTCTCCTCCATTTCCTGCTCACGAACTTGAGCCCTCACCCCCATCCCCTTTTCTCCTGAATTCCCAGGAGTCCATCCCAGCAAACATTAGTGCACTGTAGCCTGTATTTGAGTTTTTATTCTGAAAGTACAGTTGTAGTAGGAGTGCTGGAATTGTTCCCTTCTTTATCATCTTCAGAGACAAGTTCATGGCATTGTTATGCTGCTTCTAATGGTTTATAACAAGAGGGTCATTCAGACAGAGTTCTGAGATACCTCGTTGTGAAGCAGCCTGCGTCTCTCAGACAAACTCTGGAATTGTGAGTCCTGTTCCTTTGATGTCTTCCTGAGTTCCCAGGCTGAGGTGAGGGGTGTGATTTGGGGGAACGCCTTTTCCAAATTCTGACTTTCGGGAGCTGATCCCCAGACACCTCTCGTCCTGGTGTATTGTGTAGGGTGTGTTCTGATGGGAGCTACCATTTCCCCAGAGCTGGGATTGAGACACAGGGTGGTCCAATTTGTAGCCCAAGATACAAAATCCCTCTTTCTGCTTCATCTTGTAGCCAACAATAGCACCTGTTTGCGAGCTCTCCAAACACTGCTTGGGTAGCTTGGAAGTGTTGACTATTCCTACAGAATTACAGTTCCTCCTAATAACTGTTAGTCTTCATTTGATATTTGTGTTACGGCTCTACTTAGAGACGATTATATTTTCTCTTAAGCAAGTCGAATTGATTAGAAGAAAAATTGCCTAAGAAATCCACATGGCCTTTACTAAGTTAAGGCAACAGTTTTCATCTTTACTTTGGACATTTTGGCAATCTCCAACAATGTAAGTTGACAAAAACTTGGGCCTAAAATGGTAATTAAGTCCTAGGACATTGAAGCCAAAAAGATGGCTTTGATCTGTGTTTTGCTAAACATGACCCATTTCTCCGTGCAAAACAAATTATACCATTTGAGAATTAAAAATATATTTACTTTCTGATTATTTATGCCCTTTGATAGATCAGCCACATACAGAAAGAGAGAAATCTGTTAGAGAGGACCCATGTAGTGTTAATGTGTTCAGGGAATCTGGAAAATGTGTCTTCTCCAGTGTTTCCTGGGACAGAACAAAAGGCATTCCAAGTGAAAGGGAAAACTGGCCCCAATAAACTGCTTTGAAATTTAAGCCCGTGGGTTTGGCTGTCCAGCTGTTACAAGGTAAAATGGCTTCATGTTAAAAAATAGTCCGTTCTTATCAGTGGCTTCCATGAGTAGCCTTTGTAGTTTTCTGAAACATTTTCATGACAAGATGAAGTAAGGAGTTGATTTGCTTTTTATTGCACTTCCTGAGTTTTCCTACCTCCCTGGATAAAATGGATACTAATAGGTTTTCTTAGAAAGGTGTAGTATTAAAAAAAATCATAATGATATTATCTTTTCTCTCCTAAACTTTAATCATGTCATATATATCATTTATGTTTTAAATATTCCTAAAGTATTCTTCTTGGTTTTCAATTTTGTTTTGTCTCATAAAAATACCAGAAAATACTTTTCTAAATGTATTATCTTCATTTTAAAATTGTTAAAAAAAAAATGAGTGTTTTGAAAGCCACTACTGTAGCAAAGTTTATCTGTAAATGAAACAATAGCTTGTTCTCTTTTGGTGTAGGCTCTTTGTTAGATAACTAGATTGTTTTTTCCAGTTTGGCTCTGAAATTCATGAAGATCTATATTCAAATCAAGCAGATACCACAAACCATTTTGGCTGCTAAATCTAATTTGTAGGTGTATTATAATGAAGAGATAATATTTCTTTTAGGAAAAAAAAAAGATCGTTACCCCCAAATATCATGGTGATGGATTCCAAAAAATAAAATGTTGATGCCATCTACATTTTCAGATTTTTGCTATTTTCTCTTTAGGTTTTAAAGAACTCCTTAATACATAAATACTTCTTATTTTTCACACTAGATATAATTTGTTACCATTTATCTTGTATTAAATATTTTTAATACTCTTGATATCTGACTTACTTCCATGAACTCAATTGTATATCAGATCTTTATTTCAAATAATGTGCTTATCCTTATACATATAATCTTTAATACTAAGTAGCTCATTATCTTTTAAATATAAATTTATGGTAAAGAAGAGATTTGTTTTGTCAGAAGGTAATTATGCTTTTTAATCATATTCCAGTTTTCTCTCAGTATTTCAGTAATTAAAAAATAAAAGTGAGTGTAGATGTCTTAACCCAAGTAAAGCATAAATCAAAAGATTAAGTGACATGGCCAACAGGTAAATATGTAAAAATAACAAGCATAGTTTAATTATGCTAAGTAGAGGTCAGGAGAATGAAATTATGACCTAGAAAAGCAGAGAACTTGACTACTGGACATCTGGCCCCACCACTGAGATTTACAAATTATGTTGGTGTGTTTGTCGGAAAGGGGTCTCTTGGTTCAAGAGCAGAGATGGAAATCTTTAACTGTGTTGCATGCACTGAAATTGCACTTGGGTTCTTCAGTTGACTTCAGATTTCCTGTATCTTGTTTTATAAAACAGTGATACATATCTTCCCCTGGAACTTTAATAGCTTTTGTTTAAGTACTGTGGCTATTTGCTCATTTGGAAACCTTAATAAATGCAACCTTCCCTAAGTTACAGTCATTGTGGTAACACTGACAAGCTCTGAAGAACACTAGCCAGCCCAATATGCCTCTTCATTGTACATATGTGTCGAATAGAGCTAACTTTGAATGAAGATGGTAGAGCAGGTGGGCATTATTGGCACAGTGGTCTAAGCCACCACTTAGGATGCTGACATCCCACATTGGATTGCCTGGTTTGAGCTTCAACTACTCTGCTTCAGATCTAGCTTTCTGCTGATACTTCTGGGAGGCAGCAGTTGATGATGGCTTAAGTACTTGAACTCCTGACACCCATGTGGGAGACATGGATGGAGTTCCAGGAACCTGTCTTCAGCCTGGCCCAGCCCTGGCTGTTTTAGGCATTTGGGAAGTTAACCAACAGTTAAATGATCTCTCTCTCTCTCTCTCCTTTTCTGCCTTTCAATTAAATAAACATTAAACATAAAAGATGGTAGAGATAAGCTTCATAAATATGTACTTACTATATTTCTGGAATTTAAGGCCATATTACCTTTTAGTTGCCTAATAGTTCAAATATTTTTAGTGTGAACACAAACTTAAATACATAGAGAATATGTTACTTAAGATATTGAAAATGGAGAGAGCATGTAGCCTGATTGTTAAGGCGCCTGCATTCCACATCAAAGTGCCTGACTTCAGTTCCTAGTTGGGTTCCTGACTCCAGGCTTCCTGCAGTACAGACCCTGGGAGGCAGCCATGATGGCTCAAGTAGTTTAGTCCCTGTCACCCATGGAGGAGACACAGGTTGAGTTCTGAGATCCTGGCTGCAGTCCCGAGAGTGGTGGGGCATATGGGGAGTGACTTGGTAGATGGGAGGTCTTGTTCTCTCCAGTCTCTCCGTCTCTTTGTTTCTCTGCCTCTCAATTTAAGTATACATATATACATACACATACACACACACACCACACACACACACATATATATATATAAATTTTCTGTTAGCCAGACTTGTTATAGATGTTTTTTCGCCTTATTTCTCATTTATTCTGGAATTTTAAAAAGAATGCCCATTTTGCTGTGTATTAAATTTTTATTGATTTCAAAACAGACATAAATTATTTGTGACAATAATTCCAATTGTGACATAAAAATATAAAGGAGAGCTGAATCTTGGGGGCTGCAGAGACCTGAAGGTACTGCACGCTTCTGAGTGATAAATGTCAATGGCAGCTTGCTACCATTCCTCATTACAATACTCATGAGCTACAAGGGGTAAAGTAACAGCAACTAAAATACTTTGTCTTTAAACCAAGGTGTCAAGTTTATATTGTATCTGTAAAAAAATGTAACATGAATATATTTGACATCTACCTCAGCAAACAAATTAATGCTAATTAAAGATTAATGTGTTGTAATTAGCATTAAAAATGCAATTAAATTGTGAGTAAATGGACCAGGAATAGAAGATTGTTAGACGTCTCACCGCCTGGTTTTCATATTCTGCCTTTTGTTTTTGCAGCAAATAGAGGAAGCGGGGCAGCAGGCAGCTCGCAGACTGGAGATGCCCTGGGGAAAGCACTTGCTTCGGTGAGGAAATATTGACTTTGGACTCCACAGGCACCATTGTAGAAGGGTGAACTTTAATCAGAAGTGGACATTTGGAAATTTTAGGAAATGAAGGGCAGATAACTTTGGTTTTGGGAAAATGCTGGCTGTATTACATGAAGGTTGTTGGAAAATTGATGGAGAGAGCCCGGAAGCTCCCAGTGCATGGCTGGTGCTTCTATTTTGTCTTCTCAGATCTGGGGATATTCTCCAGGCCTGTGGATTTGTACGTTTTTCTGGCAGGTTTCTTTGCTCCAGAGTACTGTGGGTTCTCAATGGCCATCCAAGCCTGACTTTGCAAGGGGCGGTTCTAGAACACTTTGAGAAAAGCATTTGAATAAAGAAAATGGCAATAGCCAAGGTGCGTGAGGAGCTGGCATCGGCATCTCAGAGCCTCAGTTTCTCTGCTTTGCTCACCAGCTGCTCGAAAGCCGGACCCCAACATGTCTTGCCCATTCCCTACTGACAAAATGGGATGCCTCATTTGTCTGAGGGCACGTAATGGTGTTTTCTTCCAAAGCTAACCCTGGAATTAGCAAATATAAGTGAAGCTTTGTTCCAAGATGCTGTCTCTCTGATTGGCTCTCCCTTGCTATTGAGAGCATAAAATAAATTTGACTCAGACTAGCTGTGTGCCCTAAGTGAAAGGCACAAAGCTAGTATTCAAAAAAGATTTTATTTAATCTAGGCCTTCTAATGAGAGGCAAATGGCTTCATCATAGTTAAAGGGTTGGGAAAACCTTGGAGATGACACTATCTGACCGAATTTTGTGGATGAGGAGAGGGAAGTTGAAAGTGTAAGTTTTCCATTGTAGAATATTGTGTACCACAGGTGACAGTTATATGCATTTTCTAACCAGGAAGTTTTAAATGAATTGCACTGACAACTTTGTGGTTTAAAAAACTGCAAATTGTTTATTCCTGATGAGTGATGGCATTTTTTCCCCACTGTTTTCAGATCTATTCTCCAGATCACACTAACAACAGCTTTTCATCAAACCCTTCGACTCCTGTTGGCTCTCCACCTTCACTCTCAGGTACTGTATTTTAAATCCCATTTCATCACAGTAATAGTTTATGATAAGAATATTCCTTTTGTACTTACTCCTCTAAGGGATACAAACAGTCCTCCCCAAACCTCAAAGCCTCGCATTCCCATATAAATGAGATAGGAGAGACAGATCACCTATCTAAAATTGTTTTTAAAAATTAGCTGATTTTTGTGGACTACCTAAGCATATAGGAAAATATTTCTTAAACTTTTCATAGCTCTGCAAGATACGCAATGGCAGAGTAATGTATTCCAATAAAATAAAATTTCCAATGAAGAAAATTAGTTAATATAGTCATGCGTATGAATATAGATTGTAAAGTCATTGGATATAGACAATTTAAATGCATCATTTCCTGCAGAAATTGTAGGCTTTCCAAATTCTTTCTTTTTAAAGTTCAGTCATTGGAATTTTAGGGAGAAAACTGCGATTTTGTAAATCAGTTGAGAAGTAATTGTGTGATGGTAAGTGAATGCTTACCTCCATAGTATAACAGATCAGCCTGACCTAAGGATTCAAATTGAATAATTATAACTTGTCAAATTATATCAGTAAATCATTTCACTTTTCAGAGGTACGTTTAAGAGACTCCCTGCCCTTCCTTATATAAATGCTTCCAGAAAGCCTTGCCTGGCACATGTCTCTGCTCTTTGGAAAGAGGACAGGTGGCTTCTAAAAAAATCTGAATCACATCTGTATCTGATTGAAACCTGACCTTCCTATAATTTCTAGTGAAGTCCCTTGCCTAAATGTTGCTTCTTCAAGCCCTGTTTCATTTTCTGTATATGATACTCTCAGGGCCTATTATAAACTGGGTTCCCTAGAAGAGAATGGGAGGGTTCAGGTTGCTACAAAACTCGTAAGAAGTGATGACTGTGGCTTAGCGGACTTAATAGCAGCATTTTCCAAGGCCCCATCCCAGAGAAGGGTCACAGGAGAAGAGGAGGGATGCCAGATGCCAAAGTCTTTTTGTCCAGGGCGACCAAGTTAAAACTGACTAGAAGAGGATGACTAGAAGAGTATAGCAAAGCGTCCCCCATGGTGGGAAAGAAAAGGAAAGTTCAGTATTCTGTTCCTCCCGTTCGGTACCAGATTCCTAGACTCTGAAAATGACCTAAGGTGTCGATCTCCAAAACCAGAGAAGGTTGGGTGCAAAGGACCTGAGACATCCAAGCACGTGGAAATCCATATCCCCCATTTCAGTCAAAGCAGCTCTCATGTCATCTGTTTTCTAATGTGGAAAAAGCAAAAAAATAAGACAGTTCTGTGATCTATAAAAAGTTTGAGAACAACCCATGTAGACTAATGCCTTGATTCTATGGATGAGTGTACTTGGGTCCAGAAAGGGTACGTGACTTGGGGAACACCGTAAATGCGCTCAACCTGAGGAGCCTGCTTTAGGTGGAAGGCACAGAAATAAGGCTAGAGATGGCACTTTTTGGCTCCTGGTAATGCCTCATGGAAGACCACATGTTAGGAAGAAAGAAGTTTTATGAAGATATAAATATGGGGACAGATTGCTATTTTCACACCGACAGCTCTGTCCAAATTCTATCAAGAAAACTAATTGAACAAAATATCCTATTTTTATTTAGCATAAAAATACACAGGCACACCCAGACGAGACAGGAAGAATGGATTTGAAAAGTGTCAGGGTATGAGATTTCAATGAGACCGGAGCTACTATGTTTTTCCTTTGTGAATTAGGTATTTTCTAAGTTCTCTTCCCTGAATATGTACTCATTTAAATGTAAAAGTCGTTTATATTTCGTAGGTTAGACATGGAAAGTGCAGGCATCTTTCTTTTAGTGAATCATAAAATATTTATCTTCTTCAGAAAAAAACGCCTCAGTTGTTACTGATGTATGGAGGTTTTAAATTCTGGTTTAGTGAATGCTGCTGCCTGATCTTACTCTCGTGAAAGGTTACTAAAGGTTTATCTCATTTTAAAGGTCATTCTTTAAACACATAGCAAAGTTGTTTTCCACTGGGGAGAGAAATTTGGTTCAGCATCAACTCTCCCTGGGTAAAGGGACGACAGCCCTCCACCTCACATTCTTGGAAGTCCGCAGACCTCATAGCTACAGGTCTCCTCTGCAGGAGCTGTCCTAGCTAGAATTCAGAATCAGGCACGTGTTCCCTTAGAGGAGGCAGCCTGGGGGGACAGGAAGTCTTACAGTAGTCTACAGTTTACATTAAAGATGTTTTCCTTGCCCACCAGTTCTTGCGTGTAAATCGGCATTGCTGTTTCTAAAGGGACTGATGAGTTTCTTTGTAAGTTTGTGTCGCTCTAATTGTCATTCCCTTTTTGCTATCAGCAGGCACTGCTGTTTGGTCTAGAAACGGAGGACAGGCCTCCTCGTCTCCTAACTACGAAGGACCCTTACACTCTTTGGTATGGTTCACCTGCCAGTTTCTGCTCTCACCATTTTCACACCTTGTTTTCCTTTGTGTGTCCACATCACTCTCAGGGATTCTTAGCTTTCAGGCATCATGACTTCAGGTCACCCTTAGGCACACAAGCGTGGCCGAAGTGCGAGTTGTGAGACTGCTTGTTCCTGTTTGTAGATGGTAACCCAGATACCACTGCAGGGGAAGCCCCAGGACTCAAAATATCTAGAACGACATAAGATATTAGAAGTCTTGGGAGAATAAGCCTCCTCGTGTTTGGGAAAGATCCCTGCTATTGATTAAATAGTTCTCCTGGCATCCAGATGCTGGAGCTGCAGCTGGAACACTTGAAACAGAGTATAGGAGGCGTCCTCTTAAACCCCTGCCTGAGAGGTGTCCTGGTTATCCCCTCACTCAGTGTGGTTCTCATGGAAATCCAGTAATACCAGGAATAGGAAAGAAATCTTCCTCCGCCAGAAGGGAGTAGCTGACAATCTCCTTGGGCATAAAATATTATAGATTCTCACTTGATGATTCAGTGTCTGACACTTTCCTTAGTGTTTCTCAACTCATGGTGATTGCGACTTGAAACCCACACTGATCTGTGCAGAGATGATCTGGTCTGCAAGTGCACTGGATGGGAAGAAGGAACAGCACGTGGAAAGACCCTTTTTTTCCTACAGGGTTGATTTTCTTGTTTGTTTCCTTTCTTCCTCCATATTTGGAGAAAAACATGAAGGAAGCATATTTTTTTAACCTAAAGTAATGTTGTCTTGCCAGTGGTTCTTCCCTTCTGGCTCACTCTTTAAATGAAGGAAAATGTAAAAATAAAAATGCAAAGGTGAGCAGCCCTCTGTTGGGGTCTTCCATGCTGAAGTGTGCAGCACATTCAGCTCTGCATTTTAGCCAGTAACGACCAGCACTCGGGGAGCTAGCGTGTGCACTGCCTAGCCCAGCAATCTGCAGACCACATCCAAATAATCCATTGCTCTGTTTAGCGTTTCCCTCCCTTGAGTATTCCCTAGGGCCCGACCGTCAAAACAGGCTTTGTCCATCTTGCGAATAGAACCACAGCTTCAGTCCCTTAAGAAGGGGTTCACCGCATCACTGTCTTGTCAGGAAGCTGAATCAGCCAGTGTGATAGGCACATGCACAGTTTCTTTCCATGCTTCCCTTGACACTTAGAAGGGTATGCCTCATTCCTCTATTTATAAATTAAAAACTGTGGAAGCAAGGATGTGTAGCAGTCTTTCCAAAGTCAAGTAAGTAGTAGAGCTAGCAGCCTCGGAAGGTCGTTTCAACTTCCAGACCCACCAAATCAAAATGCTCTATACCATACACTAACTATATTAGACACACATTCTTCTGTTTGGTATAGAATAATTAGACATTGTGTTTCTCATGCTTTGGAGCTGCTCCATCTGTTTGCACAGCATGTTAGCACCCAGAGAGTGTAGGTTGATCCAGTACAGAAACGCACTAGATTTAAAGTCAAAAAACTTCGATTCCAACCCTGACTTTACTGTTTGCTGCAGCGTGACACTGATGAGTTGTCATGTCTATATAGAAAGAATAACGTCTTCTGCCTGCTTGCTTGCCATGTACTTGTGTGGAATGAGGACCCAGTAAGATGGTATATCGCAGTGCTCACCAGAGATTGGTATTTGATATTGTTGTTGATCTCAGTTCCTTAAAGAAAGAATACGTAGCTACATGTCACTTTTATTCATGTAATATAGGCCTTATTTAGTTGGATAAAACTAGAATACTAATGGCTAGCATGTAAAAAGATCATGCGGTTTTTAATTACACGAGGTAGCAGAAAATTACACCCTTATATCTTATGAGTTTTGAAATCAATTGGAAGCTTCTGATGACAATTGATTCAAGTCTTCATGACCCTTCAGTGTTAAAATCTATACCACTTTGGTTGACGGAATTTTCATAGATTTTTTTCAGTAAAGTAGCACACAGAAATAAACACACAAGTTGCTATTAGTAAAGGATGAAAAGCAAGAAACACAGGTAAAAACTCAACAAGAAATTACCATCCATGTGCTTTTTATGTGCATCTTTCTTGATACTTAGTTTTTCAGCATATGCCACAGGGGAGGCCTTCAGAGAGGATGCTGGGAAACTCTAAATAGGTCATCTTTCCATTGATAATTTTTAAACTTTATAATGAATGCCTGCCAAAATGTTCCTTAAATTCAATGTATGTTTTTCTCTACTAAAGTAAATTGAAATTCTCTTTTAAACTAATGCAGTGCAGTGTAGCATGTGTACATAATAATCTCCTGGAAGACTTACTGAATTTACTTTGTTCAGGAAAAATAACACTATAATTTTAACATTAATGTTTTCCACCAGTTTTCTAGGAAAGACACTATTTTTATTATTGTCTTAAGGAAATAAACTTGATTGGAAACATATAGTCAGAAACCTAAAGTGTGGTTTGTGTCAACTAAAGTTTTACTTCCATAACTTGCGCATGCGTTTTGCACTAAATCACATTTCACATTTCTTACCCAACAGCAAAGCCGAATTGAAGACCGTTTGGAAAGACTGGATGATGCTATTCACGTTCTCCGGAATCATGCGGTGGGCCCGTCCACAGCTATGCCCGGTGGTCACGGGGACATGCATGGGATCATTGGACCTTCTCACAATGGAGCTATGGGCGGTTTGGGCTCAGGGTATGGAACCGGCCTTCTTTCAGCCAACAGACATTCACTCATGGTGAGTGCGTAGCCTGTGTGGTTGGGCAGAGTTACAATTTCAGGAAGAATTGCTACTGCTGCTGCTTGGTTTTTGTAAACAGCTTTACTGAGATATACAGTTCACTTCATATACAGATCCCCTGTCTACAGGTTCAGTTCAGCTTGCTTGTTTTCGTGTATTCACAGGGTTCTATAACCACCACCACAGTCTAATTTTAGGACAATTTCCCCCCTATGAAAACAGAGAACCCGCCGGTACCCATTAAGCAGTCATCACCCATCCCTCCAGGCCCCAGCCCCTGACAAGCACTTCGGCTTCTGTAGATTTATGCAATTGTGGTGGTCTTTCTCACTTAGCCCAATCTTTTCAAGGTTTAGCCATCTTGTACCAGCTATGAGAGCTTCATTTGTTTTTAGTGCCTAATAGTATTCCACTGCGTGGATGTGCCACATGATATTGATAGATTGATGGTTCCTCAGGTGAGGGATATCTAGGCTGTTTTCACTCATGGACTCTTCTACATAAAGCTCGTATGAACGGTTGTATGCCAGTGTGTGGGTGTGGTGGTGGGGGGAGGCCCATGTGTCTGCTTCACTAAAATAGATAGCTAGGAGGGAATTGCCAGGCCTTTGCTGCTGTAACTTATGTATCTCAGTGACTTTGATCAAAGGACACAACTTGGGTTCATGTTTTGATGCTGGTATTTCAGTATGAATGGGTTGTATTTTTATTAAAGATGCCCAGATGATGCCTTTGAGTCACAAGGATGGGAGGTCAAAATAGACGGTGCACTCGCCTGAATAAATGCATGGCGTAGGACCATGAGATTGAGTGTGAGCATGAGTTTTCCCACTACCTTTCTGTCCGTGTCTTTATTTGAATAATATTTAAGCAGATGCATCCATATAACAATTGGAATTTCAGTTTTGCCCATTACTTTTGAAGGGATTTTGGAGAGCATCTTTTTTTTTTTTTGGATGATTATCAAGAGTCAGAGAATCTTCTTAACAACATATTACGAGAGGACAATTAATGAGGTGACCAAACAGGTGGAGAATTTGGCTTTACGAGTGATTCTGTGTGACTCTGCTCCTCTGAAACTGCTGCTCAGTGAAGCCCTCGTGTCCTGCCCAGTCCTTGACAGGCGCTTTACAGGTAGCTTGGGTGAGGCCTATTTTCCGTGATTGTAGGGGCGTCTCCTGCTTAAACATAGTTTTAAAAGGAAATGCAAAATAAGTACGAATTTTTTGAGATCCTTCTAGTTCTTGATCAGTAGTAGTCTTTTTTTTTTTCTTAATAAAAGAGTAACATTAAGGGTGCCATCCTGAGTGGTGTAATATTGAAACCTGCAACCAATTTGAAGCCAAAAATACTAGTTTATAAATAGAAGCAATGAACTCACTCACTTCTAAAATGTGGAAAGATATTTTTGAATGCCAAACCTAAATTTTTTTTTCCTTTTTACTTTTCTTTGACCTCTACCCTAAAAATTCATCATTGACTAAAAATTGTTTGTCTTTTCATGGCAGTTTCTGGGAGTTTACAAAAGGAAAGCCTAGATTTTAATTTAGCTTGGCCTCAGGTAACATGTTAAATACACTTGGGATATACATAATATGAGGTTTTCGTTTGTACAGCTTCTTTTTAAAAAAACTACAATGTTTAAACAATACTGCTTTTAATTAAGAAATCCGGCTTTATTAAAAGCCAGATCTGTGACTTATAACCATTTCTGTATATCTGCTCTCAATCACGAGAAAAATAGTTTAATTTCTGTAGCCGCGTTCACTTTGCATATGTTAAACGGATGCAACCCTGCACTCTAGGCGAGGGTCTTTTCCATAAATGTGTCATTAGTTCTTCATACCAATGTAGGGTAAATGCTGCTTGAAGATATTAAACTCTACCTGGATGCCTTTCCGAACCATGTGACCTATGAGTTACCTCTCCTTTGAGTTTGATTCAGAAATGAAGTGAGGGGAAAAGACTAGAATTGTTTTTGGACCTGGGAAGTTGGAGTGTCCCCCATTTAGGGGGGAGGGGGAGAATGGAACGGAACAGTTGGAAAAGGGAAGTCGCTGGGTTTGTAGTGCTTCATAGAAACCTCTTTGATTCTGAAGCAACAAATAAGCCCCACGGAAGGGGTAAATCATCAGGTTTGCTGATAAAGAAAAGGTTCTGTTCACTCCTCTGAAGATGGCTACTATCCAGTCCAGGATGGCGCAGGACCAGTTAGGGGACAGGATGCCTCCAGAGATGCCACTGTCTCCTGCCACCCTTTGAACCAAGCTGGGGCTTCGTCCAGCCTGCAGCGCTCCTGTGTGTGAGAGACCCTGGCTTGGCATATCTCTCCTTGAGCGAACTGGTAGGAAATGTAAAACAAAAACGTAAGCGCAGAGGAAATAGTTCTTGAATTCAGTCAGTCTGAAGCGAGCCTTTGACCAGTGGATGCATTCCACACTAAAAAGGAAGTCCAAGGGGAGGAAAAAGAAAACCCGCCCCCTTCCCCCCCAACAACAACAACAAAAATGCAAGGAGGATACTGGTAATGTTTTCCACATTTGAATTTTAATACATGAAACAGGCTGTAAAACGCTGGCCAGCTGCAGTGAATAAAGTAGCAGTGGGAGGTATGCGCCGGAAACCTGGGCTGAAAGCACTGGCCAGCCGCTCCCGCCCAGCTACACACCTTGCTCTGTGGTTCTGGAGCTGGGGCGTCCCCGTAACTTGAGACCCATCCCAGAGCTGGTTTGGCTTTGTGCAAGGCTCCTCTCTAACTCTCCTTAATAATTCCCTCTGATTAAAGAATAGACAGCTTTGAATCCTCCTGACCTCCCTACTCTTCTCATTTCCTCTCTCCCCGCCTTCTGAAAATCAAAACAAAATGCCTTGATCACTTGGAAGATGATAGAAGCGTTTCTTTGTGCAGCAGTCTGAGATCGTGGTGGGGAGAACTCTGGTTCTGCCTCAGCTATTATGTTATCTCATTTAATTGCTAACATATTGTACTTAGCTTTTGATTCATAAAATGTTTTCCTTGGAGTTCTGAAGTAGGTCTTCAGTGATTGACTAAGTATTAGTATAATGAAAGGGATTTTTTTCACAACGGCAAGGCTCCTAACCCCAGAGTGAACGTTGTATACTTGGGAGCTTTCTAGATGGTATTCTTTCACTGTGCTCCCTTCTGCTTCAAACCTTCCCTGGCTTCCCATGATGTGCAAGATAAAGGCCACTTCCGTAGGCCAGCATTTAAGACCCATCACCACTTACCAAAAACCTTAGGTTTAGCTATTCCATTATGTAGCGTTTCCTAGCAAGACCAGTGTGAAGACATTACCAGAACTTGCCCGCTGTGTTCTCATCAGCTTCTTCTTTTGTGTGTGGCCCACTTGGTCTGCCCTATCCATTTGTTTCTGTCTAATTCCCACCCATTCTCAAAGCTCTGACTCAAATTCTGCCGCTTCCAGGAAGCCTTCCCTCACTGCCTCCACCCATGATAGTCATTTTCGGCACTACTCTATGAGTCACACCATTTCTAGATATTTATCTCAGTGAGCTATGCATAGTGGTGCATCTTTAAGAGGTATAACTTTGCCTTACCACTTGTTGTGAATTCCTTGAGTACTACATATTAACATGTAGTTTCTCTCCCAGTAAATAGATCCTTAGTCAAAAGGGAAGAAAAGAAAGATAACGTTTTCTGAGTGTCGGACGGGTCCCCAGGCGCTCACTGACGGAGATCATAGTGGCCATTTCAGGTGCTGGCAAAATGAGCTTTGGAAATTTTGAGCGGTCAGTTTCAAGGCATGGGCATAGATTCAAACTCATCTGCCTCCAAATTCAAAGGTCTTTTTTTTTACGCCCCTGAGTACTCCCCAGAGATTGTCTGTGAGTATACCTTTTCACAATGAGTTTTAGGCTCTGGGAGCTTGTGATTTTCAAATGTTGATAAATGTCAGTTGGCAAAAGTAGTTTCCAGGTAGTTTATGGCCGAGTTCCCGGAACAGCTCTTTAGTGCAGTGCAGACAGAGGTGAGAACTTCTCCAGTGTACTGGCGGGCCCAAGTAGAACCACGATGGTCTGAGCATTTATCCTTAAATCAGTGTGTTCATGCTGAGTGGTTGAGAGGTGGGAACTCTCCCTACTAGGGACCTTGAAGTAATACATTTTAATTTTGAAGTGTTTTTCATACCATAACCACCGACTTTTCTGATAGAATCAGAGTAGAAATCTGTGAATGTAGGAAAATAATGAAACAGCCAAGTAGGCCACTAACCTAGTCATAAACTCTTATCAGATATAATCCCCTCTGCACCCCAGTTACCTCCATCTTTAATCCTGATATTAAATCTGGAGATTTCTTATACATTATTGACATGGCAATTTTTCGAATACAGCTCTCTCCATTATTCATTCAGTATTCATATCCACAGATGAGACCTGAAAGCAAGCCTTTCAAGTGACCTCACCTCTTCTTTTAACTGAGTAGGAGCAAAACTCCCATCACAGATCCCTCCCTGCCACCCTGGCTGCTTCCTGGTTAGCTGTAAGTAGTGTCATGACTTAAAAACCCTCCTGTACTATTAATACATTAGTATGGCTCCCAGACCTTTCTGTTTAAAGCTAATATAGTCATCTCAGAAACATTTAGTGATGGTTACCAAATGAGAGGCTTTATGCCTAGACGTGGTCGGTGCTCTTAAGAGGTTCACGGATTAGTCAGAAAGGACCTGTGTTTAAACAGATCGCTGCGTACTAGTCCGGTAGGCCCAGGGAAGACAGGGGCCCATTGCCTTGACCGGGAGCGAAAGAGCCCATGGTTTCTTGGGTGAGGAATCGTGGTCTCATACGAACGCCTGCTCTGGTTGACTTAGGCATAGAGGAGCCCAGCGGAACTCATCCCTGACACTTACCCTCCCCAGCATACCCCAAGACTCCTTGCTGCATCCCCCATTTCAGAGACCACCAGTATCAAGACAGGCTTAGCCCAGTCTCTCTCTTTTCAGCAGCTTTTTAAT